AGCCTCACTCTTCTCTTAAAATGGGAACAAAAACAGTGTCACCCACACAGAGTTACTGTGACTGGCATGGTGTTAGGCGTCATGACAAGTTCTAGTTCTTCCTGGAGCCCTTTGAAATGCAGCACCTATGTGGGAGGGGACCTCTCCAAGATGGCCACATGGTCTTTCCCCAAGCCCCCCAGGGTCTCCCGCTCAGAGCATCTCCACTGAGGCACTCACCTCAAGCTTGTGTCTCCAGCGTCCTCCTCTCTTCTTTTACCTCCTCCCGCCCTCAGCTCTTCCTGCTACAACCACTATGCCACATGATCTCAGGCCACAGCCCCATGCCACTCCAGCCTCAACCCTCAGCCCTCAACCCTTCCTCGCTCCCCCAGCCCCTCTCCCAGCCCCCTCGAGCAGTCTCAGCCCCCCATCCGTCACCCAGTCCTCCACTCCACCCAGCCCTGCTCTCCCGGGCCAGAACCTCCTGCTCTCCAGGGCTGGCTGCCCCTTGGGTGTTCTCAGTCCCCGGAAGTACGGGGATGGGTCAGGGGGATAGATTACCAGCCCCAGCCTCACTGTCCTGCCTTCTCACTTGGGGGACATTCTTAATAGAACAACCTATCTGAGCCTCCGCTCTCTCATCTGTGGGAGGAGTAGCAACAGCATCCAGCTACATCACTTACCACGGTGCTTGGTATATAGTAAGTGCTCAGTAAGTCCAATGTCCTTATCACGGCCCCCAAGTCCCTGGCTCATTAAGGGGCCCCACCACCTCGCTGTCTCCTTATTTCCACTACTTTCCCCCCAGGAACTTAGCTGCAGCCACACTGGCCGCTTCACATGCCCCCGAGCACCACTGACACAGAATGCTCTTCCAGTGGATACACAATCACTTATTCTTTTACTTAGATCAGCTCTCTGCTCAATGGTCACCTCCCTAGAGAGATTATCCCAAACCATCCTAAAACCAACTTCCTAGCACATACGGTAGTTAAGGTTCAAAAAACATTAGTCAAAAGAATGATTTTTGTTACAGTTAATGTAGCCATTGCCTTATTCAACCAGTATGGAAGTGAGTTCTCGCATATAGAGAACATGACTAGGCTTGGGCGCGGTGGCTCACGCCTGTAATCCTAGCACTCTGGGAGATCAGGGCGCGTGGATCGTTCAAAGTCAGGAGTTCGAAACCAGCCTGAGCAAGAGCAAGACCCCCGTCTCTACTAAAAATAGAAACAAATTAATTGGCCAACTAAAAATATATAGAAAAAATTAGCCGGGCATGGCGGTCCCAGCTACTTGGGAAGCTGAGGCAGGAGGATCGCTTGAGCCCAGGAGTTTGAGGTTGCTGTGAGCTAGGCTGACGCCACAGCACTCTAGCCTGGGCAACAGAGGGAGACTCTGTCTCAAAAAAAAAGGAAAAAAAATAGAGAACATGACTAATGTTTGACATTCCACATGGCCCTCGGTACTCAGCATCCCAAGTCTACTGGAAGGGCCTAAAGTCTCACTGCCACTCTTGCCTTTTTCCTTTATTTCTTCATTCACTAAATATTGTGCTCCATTCAGGTGCCTAGCACCATCTGAGCCTCCTGGCAGGTGTGTTTGTGGACAAATGTAGAAGAAAGGGCTTGCAGTAAGGGTTCACATTGCTTATCCTGGGGAGGGGCTGAGCAAGATAAGGGGGTATGAAGTGCCTGAGGCCTCATTTCCAACCCTGGCTATGCAACCTTCAAGCTCAGTGTCTACATCTGCAAAGTGGAGCTCATGAAAGTAACAAGTTCACAGGGTTGTCATGATAATTCTTTGTTAATCCCTGTGCCTCGCAGATGGAAAACTTTGGTGAATATTGGCTATTAATCATAATAATAAGTAGAGGTTGCTTTTGTAATTTAAGCAAAAGCAAAGTAAGGAATAAAAATGTGGTCAAGCCAACAGTGATTTCTCAAGCAGTCTGGTCCTTCTAATAGCATAAAAAGGGTTCATACTTCCTGTGATCCTCCCCAAACTTTAAACTCAATCTCTCTCAAAGTTCTGGTGGGGAAGCTGGGTGAGAGAGGGAAGGAAGGAAGGAAGGAAGGAAGGAAGGAAGGAAGGAAGGAGGAGGGGAGGGAGGAGGGAGGGAGGGAGGAGGAGGGAGGAGAGGGGAGGGAGGGGGAGGGAGGAGGAGGAAGGAAGGAAGGAAGGAAGGAAGGAAGGAAGGAAGGAAGGAAGGAAGGAAGGAAGGAAGGATTCAGCTGAGGAAACTAGCCTGGAGAGACATTGCTGGCCTTGCTCAATCTATGGAGCCAGTAATGCAGAGATGAGAAACATCTAAGTAAAGACACAAGTGTTCATGGCTGCAGGGTTTTTGTTTTTTTCACCTTTTAGTTAAACTCTATTGTAGTGTAATTTATATACAATAAAATTCCATCACCCAGAAAATTCCCTTGTGCCCCTCAGCAGTCAATTCCCACCTGAAAGACATTGACTGATATGAATTCTGCCACCATACACCATTGTTGCTTGATTTTATATTAATGGAATCATACAGTATTAACATGTACTCTTTTTCCTCCAATATTTTTACAGTTTTATTGGAGTGAAGCTGTAAAACTGATGTGCATAAACTATACCTAATCTAAAGGGCACAATCTGAAATGTTTTAACATGTTCCCCATTTTAAACTATCACCACAGCCCAGATAATGAACATGTCAATCACTCCAAAGTTTCCTCATGTCTTTGTTTTCCATTCCTCCCTCCCCACTCCAACTACTGCTCTGCCTTTTCTCACTATAAATTAGTCTTCGTTGTTAAGCTTTGTATATAGAATCATCTAGTATGTATTTTCTTGTGCCTGGCTTTTTTCATTCTGCATAATTATTTTGGTTCATCCATGCTGTTGTATCAACACTTTATTCCTTATTTTTTTCTTGCATAGTATTTCATATTAGGAGAATACCACAATTCATTTATCCATTCATTTACTGATGAAAGTTGGAGTGTTTTCCAGTTTGGGACTCTTATGAGAAAAGCCACTGTGAACATTCCTATACAAGTCTTTTTGTCAACATAAGTTTTCATTTATCTTGGGTAAATACCTAGACAAGGAATTGCTGGGAGCAAGTAGGGAGAAACTCTGAAATGATTTGGGAAAAAAGGATATGTTGGCCAGGCGCGGTGGCTCACGCCTGTAATCCTAGCACTCTGGGAGGCCCAGGCGGGTGGATTGCTCGAGGTCAGGAGTTTGAAATCAGCCTGATCGAGACCCTGTCTCTACTAAAAATAGAAAGAAATTAATTGACCAACTAAAAATATATATAGAAAAAATTAGCCGGGCATGGTGGTGCATGCCTGTAGTCCCAGCTACTCGGGAGGCTGAGGCAGTAGGATCACTTGAGACCAGGAGATTGAGGTTGCTGTGAGCTAGGCTGACGCCACGGCACTCACTCTAGCCTGGGCAACAAAGTGAGACTCTGTCTCAAAAAAAAAATAAAAAAAGGAAAAAAGGATATGTATGTATTATATATCATACCATATACATGCATACAATTTGTATTTATGTGTGTGTTTACACATACATGCAAGAGATGTAAATATATGCAAGATAAAACAATTGGTTATTCTGGCTGAAATATAGTATGAGTTCTTTACGATTCTTGCAATTTATACGTAAATCTGAATTTTTTTTTTTTTTTTGAGACAAGAGTCTCACTTTGTTGCCCAGGCTAGAGTGCTGTGGTGTCAGCCTAGCTTACAGCAACCTCAAACTCCTGGGCTCAAGAGTACCTCCTGCCTTAGCCTCCCGAGTAGCTAGGACTACAAGCATGTGCCACCATGCCCTGCGAATTTTATATATATATTTTTTTAGTTGTCCAGCTAATTTTTATTTCTTTTTTTTTTAGTAGAGACGGGGTTTCACTCTTGCTCAGACTTGGTCTCGACCTCCTGAGTTCAAACGATCCGCCCTGCTTGGCCTCCCTGAGTGCTAGGATTACAGGTGTGAGCCACCAAACCGGCCATAAATCTGAATTTTTATCCAAAATAAATGAGAGGCTTTCGGTGATCATACACACCATCAGAAGTGGCCTGTCCCCCACCCCAAGGCACTCTTTAGCTCATTCTTCATCACACTTAATCGCTGGCAAAAATTATCCTGTGCATTCATTTAATAGCAATACCTAACTCTTATTGTGTGTCAGACTGTTCTTTTCTTAGTGCTTTAACTGCAAAACTTCTGCGAATCTCCTAACTACTGTTCCCATCTTACAGGTGAGGAACCAAGACACAGGAAGGTTGATTAACTTGCCAAGGACACTCGTGGCTTGTCTCCTCCAGAGACACAGAACCTCAACTAAGGCAGAGACTATTTTGTCCACTGCTCTTTTCCCAGGGACTTATTAATACAATGGTGCCAAGCACGTTATGGGGGTTCCATACTTATCTGTAGATTCAGTTAACAAATACGGCACACCCATTAGGCATTGGGGTACAAAGCAGTGAACAAACTATTCAAAAATCCATGCTTAAATGGAGCTTTGCATTGAGAATAGCGTTCAGCTCCACACCCGGTTAGCCACCCCTCGCTTTCATTTGGTTCAATCCCCCCTGACAATTAAGGCCCACTCTATCCATTTTGCAGAGGTACCAGGATCAAGGTGGGGCAATGATTTGCGCAAAATCTCTGGGCTAATAGAAGGGAAGGTCGGGATTCCAACCCAGCCCGCGAGGTTCCCAGGCCTGAGCTATGAATCAATCAAACAGACAAAGCCAATCACCGCATCAGTATTTATTGAGCGCCTACTGGGTGCGGTTAGTCCTCATGCAGGCCAGGTGAAGAGAGGAGGTCGTGGAGCGCAAGCCGCCGCGGAGACGGGGAAGCCGCCGCGGATCGCAGGAATTTGGCGCCTATTTTTTGTCGGCTGGGTGTTCTCGCCGGTGATTGGGCCCCGGCGCGGCGTGCCGGTGCGCCTGGCCGCGGCTGCTCCGTCGACCTTGGCGGGACCTGGGCGGCGCAGAACTCGCCTGGCCTCCCGGGGGATGGGCCACCAGGAGTCTCCGCTGGCCCGAGCGCCGGCGGGAGGTGCGGCTTACATAAAGAGGTTACGTAAAGGGCTCAGCTGGCGCGAACACGTGGAGAGCCCGGAAGGCTGGGCCTCCCCCGCGAGCGCCGCTGCCACTGCCCGGGCGGCAGCACTACCCGCCGCACGTCCGAGCTCGGCCACCGCCGCCCGCGCGGCTCGGTCCCGGAGGCACGCAGGGCCCGGAGCGGACCATCCCCGGCCGGGGGCTCCAGGGGGGAAGCGGGCCGCCCGGAAGTGGAGGTGCGCGGACCAGGTAAGGGCGCAGTCCCAGGAGTGAAGGCAAGCGCCGAGACAGGAGTCACCCCGCTTCCTCGGCGTTCGGGGAGGACAGGCGGGACCTTGGAGTGTCGCGCTCGGGGAAGCTGAACTTCTAAGCCAATCCCCTCCACCCGCCGCCCTCGGGGACTTGGGTCGGTCCGCTGGGCTCCGCTAGGGCTCGATTCAATGGACTGTTTACACCGGGAGGAGGCAAGGCGGGACGCGGGGAGGGGAGTCTCGAAGGGGGCCAGGCAGGGATAAAAACTTCAACAGTCCGCAACGCTTCTTAAGACGACTTTCATAAATCGTGAAGGCAGCTGGTTCTCGTTTTTCCTAGTACTACACGATGAACTAGCTGAGACAGCGGGAGAGTTTTTCCTTTTCTTTCCGGTTCCCCCTCCGAGCCGCGGCCCCGTGGTCTCGTCTTTCCCGCTTTCCCCTCCCCTCCCCCGATCAATCCGCGGCGCTGGCTTTCGTCTTAAAGGGGCCGCGGCGGCCGGAGGAGGAGGAGGTGGGACGCTACGCGGCCTGCGCTCCTTGCCTCCCCGCCTCGGCCTGGTCGTTTAACCGATTCTTTCGCCCTCAGGTCACAATCCAAGGTCCCGCTCCTCCGCGTCCCGGGGCCGGACGGAGGGATGAGGCAGGGGCGGGCCGGGCAGCGCCGTTGCTGCTCCCCCCGCCGCCTGCAGCCATGGAAACGGGGGAGGACGGCGCCCGCAGAGGTACACAAAGCCCAGAACGGAAAAGGCGAAGCCCAGTGCCGCGGGCGCCCAGCACGAAGCTGAGGCCGGCGGCTGCGGCCCAGGCCATGGATCCAGTGGAGGCCGAGGCCCCGGGCGAGGCCTACCTGGCGCGGCGGCGGCCGGAGGGCGGCGGCGGTTCTTCGCGGCCGCGCTACAGCCTTTTGGCGGAGATCGGGCGCGGCAGCTACGGCGTGGTTTACGAGGCAGTGGCCGGGCGCAACGGGGCCCGGGTGGCGGTCAAGAAGATCCGCTGCGACGCCCCCGAGAACGTGGAGCTGGCGCTGGCTGAATTCTGGGCCCTGACCAGCCTCAAGCGGCGCCACCAGAACGTCGTGCAGTTTGAGGAGTGCGTCCTGCAGCGCAACGGGCTAGCCCAGCGCATGAGCCACGGCAACAAGAGCTCGCAGCTTTACCTGCGCCTGGTGGAGACCTCGCTCAAAGGTAGGAGCACCGCGGGCCGTCCCGCCCACGCAGGGCCGGACCCGCTACTCTCTGGACTGCTCAGTTCAAACTGTCCCGGGTCCCCCTAGGCCTTGGTCCTGTCACCCTGGGCCCAGACACACCCTCGTTTCCCCGGGCCCAGGCATTGGGGCCTCGCTCTCTTCTCTGGACCCAGGGCTAGTCCCTGGCCCAAAAACTAACTGGGTTTTTCATAAGAAGACCTCATTGGAGTGCTAACCATTATTTTAGTAAGTGCTCTATAAATGTGAGCCATTGATTATTGAGCGGCTAGCACTTTTAAGATCCGGTTGGGAAGTTGAGGGGGTTGGGTTCAGAGTTGGTGGCAGAACTACAGAGCCCTCTCACCCTTTAGTACCTTTTCTTTTTCCCTCCCAAAACAATCAGAAAAAACTTTACCAAAGCTATCTACACCCTCTCCCTCTTAGTTGTAAGTTTCCTGACATCCTCCATCACCACCTCCCAAACTCTTGCTTACTAGCCTGCGTTTTCCTATGAGATCCACAGCTCTTCATATCAGACACTCGAGCAAAACGACAGTTTTCTGGCTTGGTCCTCTGAGTTGTGCAGGCTAATACCCCCACAGGTGGGCCTAGAGCTGTCACGAAACAAAATCTCTTAACATCTTTTCCCTTCATTTTGCATTCTTAGTCTTTTAATCTCTGAGGCTGGCTGGGAAGTGGTTTTACTTATGAGGAAAATGAAGTTCATTGAGGCAAGGGGTCTTCCAGACCTGGAAGACTAATAATCCTGGTATCTGGGTTTTAACTGCAGTTATGGAATGTGTTTCATCCTAAGTGCTCAGTACTCCTAAGCCGCCTTCAGACTGCAGGTAGCTGGGGATTTACTCAGGACAGGGGCAGTGGGCTAGGAAAGTCTGAGGACACTTCGGAGGCAGGAGAATCCCGGAGAAAGGTTACTAATTGCGTCCCAGCTGTGGTCTGAGCTCTGACATAATTTTAGGTAACAACTTTAAAAGTAGATTCTGTCCCCTTTCTATAAATAAACTAAGGCTTACAGGAGAACAACTAATAACTTGATTAAGGTTAATCCACTTGAAAGTCGGACTGTACTCTTGATTTACTTGTACTTCTCATAGCTTAAGTGATGTGAACTCACCTCTGTCTTAATTCCTTTGAAGGAGTAATGCTGTCCTCCCTAAACCTTTAAGAATGGGTAGGATTTTGGGTGAGGTTGGAGGGTGTGGTTTCCTAAAATCGTGTTTGGATGCAACTTTAAGATCCCACTTAAGCCTATCCTAAGAGAACTCTTCTCATTTTAAGTCCCCTGCTTGACAATAGGTTAGGAGATATGGTCAGTATCACCTGAGGTTCTTTTTAGACTTCTACCTTATGTACAGCGCTGCCCCATCCATTCTGAAAAGCCTACTCTCCTGGGGGGGGGAGTTTTTTTCTGAAGAGATTATTTTGATCTTTTTTTTTTTTTTTTTTTTAAACCTTTTATATAAGAAATGGGGTCTCTTATGTTGCTCTGGGCTCAAGTGATCCTCCTGCCTCAGCCTCCCAAGTAGGTAGGATTATGGAATGCACCACCACATTTAGCCCCAGGAGTTTTTGTTTGTTTGTTTGTTTGTTTTTTACCTTACCTGTGTTCTGGAGCTCATCACTTAATTTGAAGTCCTATTCTCAGACTGTCTCCTGCTAGATGGTTAATGAATGGTCTGGACTTCCATATTACCGTACTGCCTTGGGGTGTGTGGACTTGCTTAGCCATATAGTGCATCTATCCTCAGTTCGTTGATGTCAGTCTTGGAACTTCAACCTCAGTTTGAAGCCCTTGCTTACTTGCCCAACATAAATGTAATTTAGACTTTCCTCACATGTAGAATTTGTCAAAACTTCTGCAGTAAACAAAGGCAGCATAGCATAGCGATTAATACTATGGACTTTAGGGTTAGACTCAGGCTGCATGAGACATGGGACAAATTGTAAAACCTGTGAGGAGCATTCCTTTAGATAGGGGCAGTTGTGGCATAGGGCTGCAGGGAAGACTGAGGATGTCCTGATAAAGTGCTCTAGATAAGGAGGAATTCACTGCCTTGATAAATTCAGGCTACCCCTCTCCATCCTCTTCGCCATCACCTTCAAGGTTCTTGTTCAAGTTTCCCAAACTTGTTTGACCATGGAACACACTTTATTTCCTGTGTTGTCAGCATTACCAAGTTGACAAAAACACTTGTGTTTTCATCCTCCCTTTATAAGCTAAAACTGAGACCTAGAGAAATGAAATATTTTGCTTTAGGCCACATACTAAATATGTCTCTTTCAGTTGTTCATAGAGTCTTCAGAATATTTGAGTCTCCACAATGTTCACGGATTGGAGATAGAACAGTGAAGAAGATTTGCATTGTCTCTGCTTGTGAATATGACATTCAAGCTTACATATCGTGTTAATTTAGCAAGTAGTAAATAGGCAGTCGTGTCTTTTTGCTTGTTTATTTTAAAGTGGAGAACAAAGATTCACAGTACTCCAGGTTAAGCTTTCTGAAGTCTACTTTCCAAAATTTAGTGGTCTTGGTCTGGCCTGGGGTCCTGCTTGCAGCATGCATCATAATACCACCAGCAATGTTAGAGCTGGGGGAGGGATCCTAGAGATAGCCTGGTTCAGCTCTCTAGCAGAAAAGTCCTTTGCAGTAACCCTTTGCCAGGTCTCCCGAAACTTAGAATGATTTTGAAATAGACCAAAAAATGTTAATCTGCCTTGAATTCTCAACTTCACCCAATGCGGAATTCATACTGTAGTATTTGAAGAGAAAAGAAAAAAAACCCAGAGAACAAATCATTTCTTGCCCTAAAGGAACTTACATTTGAAAAGCTTGAGGACTAGAAGACTTAATACTATTCAAGGTCACTGGAGGAAATGGCAGGTTGGCTCATTAACAAGGGCTTTGTACCAAAATAAGAGGAAGATGGGCTTGCAAGATGTGTGCCTAGGATCGTGGGTAGGCAAGGAAGAAACAAAGTGAATCTATTTCGCTACTGGGCCAATAGATTTGTTTTTTTCCCTCTTCAGTCTCCAACTTCTTAGTGAATACATAGAAGGCATTTGTATAGTCTCCAATTATTGATGTATAAAAATTCCAATATGAAAAGAAACTTCTGGAAATGAATGCTGTTCTCAGTCTTGCTCATTTTGTTTGAGAGACTTCTGCTGTGCGTTATGTCAGTCCTTTCCGAGCATGGAGCAAACATGTCCTACTCAGAAGCATTATAAAGAGACCAGAAGCTATAGAGGGTTAGAAGAGGTCTTAGGTGTCTGATCTGGCCTTCTGTTTCACAAGGAAGAAAACTGAAGTCCAGAAAAGGAACAGGACTTGTCTGAAATGAATTAGTAGTAGTGCTCAAATCAGCCTCCTAGGCTTTTATAAACCAGATTAATAGCCCTGTAAATTATTTAGTTGTTGGGTTGGTGCCTGTGTTGTCTTTGTTTAACTTTGAAGTACTTTTCAAATAAAAAGAAGAGTGAAGGCATCAATGGTTTGCTTTTGTCGCCTTGTTTTCCGTTGCTAAAGGACCCTGTCCTGAATGCACCTTAAAACAAAGTTCAAGATATCACTGCCACTTAGACAGCAGGCAAGCCTGATTGATTCATTGTCAAACTCAGAAATTCTGTTGCTTTCTCTAATGCACGCACTGATCCTTCTGACAAACAGCAAGCAAGGCCCAAAAAAATCCAGTACCAACTTTAAGCCTTATAAAACTGAATTAGAAGTTTGGAAGAGCAGGAAGCCTAGCTTATCCTCAGCTTGGTAAGACACTAGTCTTGCTTTCCCAATTGTTTGTTTTCTGTACTCAAGATGACTTTAGGTAGCTTGAGATGGCTGGGAATGTGGGCTTTGGTAAGTAATCTTTTTTTTTTTTTTTTTTTTTTTTTTAATAAATTAAAAATGGGGTCTCACTCTTGCTCAGGGTGGTCTTGAACTCCTGAGCTCAGCTCAAGTGATCCTCCCGTCTCGGCCTTCCAGAGTGTTAGGATTACAGGCGTGAGCCATTGTGCCGGGCCCTGGGGAAGTAAAATTGCCTGCACACTAAGTGGCTGCTGTGAGCCAGGTCACTGTATTTGAAGAGCTTCCTCCATGAGGCCTGCAGGGGACACATGCCCAAATGAACACAGTGCAAGGTCACAAGTGGCAGCATCCTAGAAACAGAGTTTCTCTGTGGGAGTTTAGTTGGAGGCTTTGGGGAGCAAAGGAAGTAGCTGAGGGAGGAACTAGTGTTCTAGTTGGGGGAGACCAGGGATTTAGCAGTAGATTAGTTGTCAGCCTGCAGACTCCTATGGAAAACAGCTAAGCAAATAACCAGGTCAGGATTCAAGCCCAGGCATTCGGACTTGAATGTCCTGTCTTAACCACTATGAGGACACGCGGCTTACATTCTGAGTTCTCTTTTTCTTGGTTATAAAATGGGCATAACCATATTTTACTCAGAAACTAATGACTATTTTTAATTGTGTATTAATCAATGCTCGTGGCACTGCCAGTTTCCGCTGGTGCCTTCTGTGCGTCTCACCTGCCAGGGACTCTACCAGCTGTCTGGTGTACTCTTTTGAATGTCTTGAGGCAACCATGCGGACTTCACTCTTGCTCTTGACTGCCCGCCTGCTTCTATGCATTGGGGATTTTAGGTTCCAGCCCCAGGAGACGGAAAGAGCCCTTCCTTAATTGAGAGCTTTGGTTAATTGGGGTTGCACTGGGTAGGGCTTTTTATAGTGTAAACTCTCAAGGAAACCTTAGCTTCCTTCGTAGAACATTGGTTCATTTTCACTTCAAATTCAGCCTTTAGTGGTATCCTTAGGGCTAGGTACCCTCCTTAGTGACTCAGATTCTACGTCCTGACCCAGTTGTCTTTATATATTCTGCATGCCCTACCACTACTTTCCCTATTCTTTCTCTTATTTATACCTCTACAGCTCATGATTCTTACCATTATGGAATGCCTACTGTGTGTGTACATGGTGTACTG